TTCCTCCCTTCTTCCTTCCTTCCTTCCTTCCTTCCTTCCTTCCTTCCTTCCTTCCTTCCTTCCTTCCTTCCTTCCTTCCTTCCTCCCTTCCTCCCTCCCTCCCTCCCTCCCTTCCTCCCTCTCTTCCTTCCTTCCTTCCTTCCTTCCTTCCTTCCTTCCCCCACCCCTCCTTTTTCTTTTTGGTGTGTATGCGTGTGTGTGTGTGTGTGTCTGTGTGAACCAACTAGGCTCTCCTCTTCCCCCTTGGCTGCCGCTGCGCTGTGCCGCCTGCTGCTCCGGGCTGGGTGGGTGGGTGGGTATTTGGAAGGGGTGGGCAGAGGGAGGGGCTGGGGGACGCGGGGAGGGGAGGGACCGGGAACTCTCCGCCTGTCTGCCAAGAGGCGAGCGGCTCCCAGACAGGTGATGGACTCCGGGCCGGCTCCCGCCTCGCTGCTCGCCTTCCCCTTCGTCGCCATCCGGGCCAAGATGTAGAAGGAAGCTGGACCGCGCTTCTCCGCTTATCCAGGAGCCCGAAGCGGCCGCAGGAGCAGCAGCAGCAGAAGCAGCAGAAGAGGCGGCGGAGGCGGTGGTCGCACCTTGGCAAGGGGAGGAAGGAAGGAAGGAGTCCGAAGCGGCTTCCCTCCCTTGGCCGCCCCGCTGCCCCTCTTCTCCCCTCGGAAGGAAGCCGGGAGGGCGCCAAGGAAGCAGCAGGATCCCCCCTCCCTCTCCTCGCCTCTGCCAGGAGACCCCCCCCCGGTGCCAAGCGCCGAGAGACCTTTAGAGGCCACCGGGAATTAAGGAGGGGACCTCCGCCCGCGCGCCGCCCCCTGCCCGGAGCCCGGAGCCCGGAGGACAACTGGCCCCCCACCCACCCCCCCAGCGCCGGTGGTGGCTCCCTCGTCCCCCCCCCTCGAGGGATGGTTGTTATTTTCCCAACCCAAGGAGGCGGGGTGGTGCGCCTCCTGCGCTGCACCGTTGAGTCGTGTGGCCGACCACAGTGATGAGCACGCAATGAGGATCGGCGCAGCATTCTGGGTTATAGGCTTTTGCTACCTGGCCCTCGTGTTTGCAGAGGTAGGTGCACGCCTGGGGAAGGAAGGAAGGAAGGAAGGAGAGGGAGAGAGGGAGAGAGGGAGAGAGGGAGAGGGGAGGAAGGAAAGGCAGAAGACCCCCCCTCTTCCCCCTTTTAAAATCTCCAACTGATTCCAAAACCTTTTTTTTTTTGTTGTTGTTGCACCGGTGCTATTCTTCCTTCTTCCCTTTCCCCCCCTCTCCCTCCCTCGTCCTGCCTCTCCCTTCCACCTCAACCCCCCCCCCCCGTGCATGGGTTTGGGCTCTTCGCCTTGGACCCTCCAGGTGGAGAAGAAGGGGGCTTCCCTTCCCCAAACGACTCCCAAGAGCGAAGGGGTGGCGTGGGAAGGGCGGCCGTTCCACGCGCGGCTCTCAACGGCCATCCCTCCAAAACAGCGCGGGTCTCTCTTCCTCTTCCTCTTCCTCGTCCCCAACAAGACGGAGGAGCTGCTAGGTCGCCTGGATCCCACAACCCCTCCGTCCACCCTGCTCTGGCGCGCGTGCAGACGTGCCAGGAAGGGCGCTCAAAAACGCGCGAGGCGAGCCAGCCTCTGGCGTGGTATTTTTTAATTTATTTATTTGTGTTAAAAAAAAAAATTGCCAACGCAACGCTGGCCGGCCTGGCTGGAGAAGGGTAAGGGAGGGAAGCCGAGAGCCTAGAAACAAGTGTGTGTGGGGGGGGGGGTTCTTGACTAGCCAGCTTCCTGCTCGTGGGGAAACGACCCCGAAATGGCTAAAATAGGAGAAGGGAAGCAAGTCCGTTAACGTTGCCCTTCCGAGATGCAACCGCGTGTTAACCCCCCCCCCCCCGCCGCTCTGAAAATTCACTTTATAAGGTTATCGACAGGGAGAAAGGGAGAGAGAGAGAGAGAGAGAAAAAAAAAACAACCCAACTGTGTTTCCCAGATTGAGTTGGCACGTTTGTCTTGGAAGTTAGGACTCTGCCTTTTGAAATGGGCTCGTTTTTTTTTCCCTCCCAGGGACTTGCGTTCAGACAACTTGCTTAACCCAACCGTAGGGATTCCGGGTTCTCCTGCAGGAGTGGGGCGAGGGACGATCGCAGTTAGTTTTTCAGGAGCTGGGAGAGGGGTTAGGGGTTGGGGGGGCGCAATGCAAGGGGCTGGACTCGCCTATCTGGTTAGCTTGTAAGAAACTGGGTTAGTTTTAGGAAGCTGTGGTTGGCTGGGAACTTGTGAACGTAGCCCTTGGCGTTGCAGTGTAAAAGCTCTGCTTTTTTGGGGGAGCCTGGGAAAACAGGAACGTCGAAGCCCACAGTGGATTTATTTTTCCCCTCCACTTCCTCTTTGCCTCACCCCCCAAATTGTGGAATTGTTTCTAGTAACCACTGCGGAGCGTGGGAATTCGAAGGCCGAAAAGGAGTATATTTTCAAGCAGGCTGGGGTTCCTTGCTCTTAAGAAGGGTGCTGGGAAAAAGAAAAGCAGGGTGCTTTTTTTTTTTTTTTTTTTTGCTGATTTTTTTCCAACCTGTAGGATTCGGGGTCCTTATCTAGAACCATGGCCAGCCCCCTCCCCTCTCAGGGAAATTTGGGAGAAAGGGTGAAGTCAACGCCAATGGAGGCTGACACTTTTATTTTCCTGCAAGTTTCCTGCTATTGAAAAAAAGAAAAAAAAGAGTTGCCTTGGGTCAAAGCTCTCCTTATGCTAGGCAATTAAAAACACACACACACACACACAATGAAACAAAGGGGGGGAAAAGTTGTCGGTTGTTTTATCCCATTCATGTAGAACAAGCTCCATAAAGTCCAGGGATTTTTTTTTTTTTTAAAGAGATTGGTGCCACTTTTTTTTTTTTTTTTTTTTTGGGAGGGGTTGAGAGGAGGAAACAACCTGTGGAATGGTGCTAAGTATTGTGCTGTGGCACATGTCAACTTGATCTCTCTCTCCTTCTCTCTCTTTCCCCTCCTCTCTCCTCCTCTCTTTTTTCCTCTCTCTCTCTCTCTCTTTCCCTCTCTCTCTCTCTCTCTCACTCACATACTTCTAGGAAGGCTGATTTCAGATACTTAAACCTCAGCCCCCTCTTAGTAAATGGGATGGTCTTGTAATTGTAAAGGGACAGCGTGCCAAAACAGCCCCCCCTGCAATATTATGGGATGGTCTTAAAGCATTGCCTGCTCCATTAAAAAAAAAAAATTCTCAAGCTTTCCTCAAAGTTCTGAGCCACTGAAGGAATGTTAATCCCTCCTTCCAAGACCCCCACCCAATAAAGGGAGAAATAAATAAAAATGAAAAGGACAGAATTTTCCACGCTTCCCATATCATAGTGTGGGAAGGAGGAACTAAAAATGTTAATTGTGGGTTGCAGGGTTATTGGGTACAGACAGTTGAAAAGGAGAATATTTTAAACAATAAAACACAGTCCTTCCTTTCTCCATTGTTCCTGAGCATCTGGAAGGGGAAGCTGGGAGCAGATCCAAGACCCCCCACTTCAGAGTGGATCAAGATCTGGTCCAGATCTACTCCAGAGGTGATTTGGAGAAAAGGCTGACTAGAGATCTAGAAATCTGACTGGCTACCGTAGAGTTCAAGATCTGCTCCAGAGGTGATTTGGAGAAAGACTCAGTAGAGATCTGGTGATCTTATTGGCTAGGGATCTGCTCCAGAGATCATTTGGGGAGAAAGACTCAGTAGAGATCTGGTGATCTGATTGACTAGGGATCTGTTCCAGAGATGATTTGGAGAAAGACTCTGTAGAGATCTGGCGATCTGACTGACTAGGGATCAAGATCTGGTCCGGAGGTGATCTGGAGAATGACTTAGTAGAGATCCAATTGACTAGGGATCTGCTCTGGAGGTGATTTGCAAGAAGACTCAGTAGAGATCTAGTGATCTGATTGACTAGAGATCTGCTCTGGAGGTGATTTGCAAGAAGACTCAGTAGAGATCTAGTGATCTGATTGACTAGGGATCTGCTCTGAAGGTGATTTGCAAAAAGACTCAGTAGAGATCTAGTGATCTGATTGACTAGGGATCTGCTCTGGAGGTGATCTGCAGAAAGATTCGGTAGAGAGCTGGTGATCTGACTGACTAGAGGTGATTTGCAAGAACTCAGTAGAGATCTAGTGATCTGATGGACTAGGGATCTGCTCCAGAGGTGATTTGCAGAAAGACTCGGTAGAGAGCTGGTGATCTGACTGACTAGAGATCGGGGATCTGTTCCGGAGGCGATCTGGAGGGAAACTGACTAACTGGGGGGCCCTGCCCTCTCTCCCCTCTCTTTTCAAAGGAAGCGGAGATTCCTCAGGAGTTGATCGAAAGGCTGGCTCACAGCGAGATTCACAGCATTCGGGATTTGCAGCGTCTCCTGGAAATTGATTCCGTAGGTAAATTATTCCCTTGCATTTCTTCCTATATCCCAACCACAACACTGAATGTCTGCTGCGAGGGGGTGGGGGTGGTTACCAAGGGGGGGTTGGGGAGTGGGGGGGCCATCTTGGCAAATGTCCTGCAAAGGGCCAGTTTTAGAAATGCAAAAATCCAGGCCTGCCCTTGGGGAGGGGCAGGGAGAGAGTCCACAATGGATTGAGTGGGGGGGGGGGCTTCATCCATTCCTCCTTTGGGGAAGGGGGAGAAGGAGGTTTAGGAGGAGGAGGAGGAGAGGCTGAGTTTGGCCCCCCTCCCCATTTCCCAAGCCACAAAAAGGGGCTTCCCCCCCCCACAGGTCTGCCCATTTGTGTCTGATGTTCCTTTGATTCTTCTTGAAAAGGTGCCCAACGGATCTAAAAGTGAAGTGACTTCTTGCACTTTTGCTCGGGCTTTTTTGGGCAGGTTTTTAATTTGTGAAAAATGACTAGCTTTCCTCTCTGTTCCACTGCCTGCCCCCTGTCCCCTTTGCTAGCAGTTGAGAATTCAGGGATACACTGCCCCTGGCTGTGGAAGCTCCACCGTTCTGTGGCAGCTGGGTTACGAATAGCCGTGATTGCATTTGACATCCAACATAATGGCTCCAAATGGTTCTGGTTTGTAGTGACCCCACATGGAACAAGCTTTATTTTATGAATTGTGTTGCCGCGTTCTCTTAGGCACATGCTGGGCCTTTTCACAAGGTATTTATTGTAGGCCACTTAGATGTTCATCTATTCCATCGTTCTCTTCCTTATGGCTTTAAAATATGGGATATACATCTGATTTCCTTCATTGAGTCCAGGAGTATAATAGTCCAGCAGGGGAGGCTGTGTCTGCTCCCATTTTACAGATAGGGATTGAGGCAGAGTTTTCAGAGAAAATTGAAATGAAGGCTCGAGATTTCCTGGCAAGTGTTATGGATTAAAAATAAAGGCTTTTTTTTACTTTGTATTGGGACACATCTGGACCTGTCTTGTTTTTCTGGAGGGATTGTTAGCCCACAGGTTCTAAAGTTTGCCTCCAGAAGTTGTGGGTGCTCCCACACTGGAGGTTTTCAAGAAGAGATTGGACAACCATTTGTCTGAAATGGTATAGGGTCTCCTGCTTGAGCAGGGGGTTGGCCTACAAGACCTCCAAGGTCCCTTCCAACTCTGTTATTCTGTTATTATTCTGCTTTCCAGTTCAGTGGGTCCCGTTTCTGAGTAAACATGAGTAGAATTGCACTGTTGGGTTGTTTGATGAATGCCAAGTGGAGGTGTGAAGTGCCTTGATCCAACAAACATTGCACGGAAATTGACGTGCCCTATTGAAATCGACTTGATCCAGTGAAATCGACTTTCCCTGTTGGAATTGACTTGCTTTGTTGAAATTGACCTGCCCTATTGCATCAACCTGCTGTATTGAAATTGACTTGCCGTGTTGAAATTGACTTTGTTGAAATTGACTTGCCCAGTTGAAATTGACTTGCCCTGTTGAAATTGACTTGCCCTGTTAACATTGACTTGTCCTATTGAAATTGACTTATCCTGTTGAAATTCATCTGCCCTGTTGTCATTGATCTGCTCTGTTGACATTGACTTGCCCTGTTGAAATTGATCTGCCCTGTTGAAATTGACTTGCCCTATTGAAATTGATCTGCCCTGTTGAAATTGACTTGCCCTGTTGAAATTGCTATGAGAAATCTTATCTACATCTCTGCAAGGTAGATGGGTGTTAAATTCATTTTGGCCCTGCAGTTTTGGGGAGAGGAAGCCATTCAGCACCGTCTCCCCAGGAGAGGTGACTTTATTTGATGGGTTGTGTGTGCCTATTTTAATACAGGAGGGGGCCTTTATTTGGGAACTTAGACCTTCTTCTTTCCAAAATGGATGGTGATTTTCAGATCTTGTTCAGAAAAGAGGCGGTGCCGTTCACCCCGTCCCCATATTTTCAGTGGGTGCCTTCCCTCGCCAGGCCCTTTAAAATGCAGAAGATGATTTTTCCAATTTGGTGGGTGTCAGAAATCCCTCCCCAGATTACATCTCCAGCCACAAAGCTGTCCGTCAGATCGCCGCTCTCTTGCTGTTTCAAAAAGCATTTTTGTGTGTGCGTGTGGCTATTCTAAACTCTTGTTTATGAACAAAGTCCCGTCAAAGCAAGACGTTGTTTTGTTGTGTGTTGCAAAGCACAAGGGAAAATAAAACTTCTTCCTTTCCACTTGGATCCAGCCAGCTCTCAAGCAATCAGCCTGCCCATCTCGCTATTCCCTTTTAATAGCCCAAGGTTATGTTCTGAATCATTAGACTGACGAATGCTTCAAAGGGCAAATGGGCAATTTGCTAACATTACCGTCCGTGCAACAGAACCATCCTGTTATTAAATCTGATCTCTGCAGACTTTGCCAGAATTGACTCAAAGTGAGGATCTGCAGCATTGGGAGAAGATGGCTTTGTTTTTTTGGGGGTTTTTTTTGTTTTTTTTTGGGTGAAAGCAGGAAAGAAATAACCGAGGTTTCTTTCCATTTCTTTTCTCCTCCCTTCTCTCTTTTTTTCTTTTTCTTTTTCTTTTTTAAAAAAACAACGAAGGGAAGTTTCTACCCATCTCCTATCCTGCGCCAAGAATCTAGCAAGTTGATGCTTGCGCTGCTAAAAGCAGAGCCATTTCTTCGAAACAAAGACGGCACAGTTGTTAATGCTTGTTGTTGTTGTTGTTGTTATTATTATTATTATTATTATTATTATTATTTAAAAAAGAAGAATTACAAGGAGCCTTTGAAAGTTTAAACTCTGGATTGCAGCAAGCTCTGCTTTTTTTTTTTGGGTGGGGGGAGCGACTTTCATTCGGCCTGCCTAAAGGCTGAATCCGTCAGGAGATTTTGCAGTGTGCCTATTTCTTTTTTTTTCTCTCTCTCTCTTTTTCTTTTTCCTTTTCGTTTCCGTGGAATTGCACAAGGTGGTACGGCAAGCAGGCAAATGCTTTTCCTTTTCTTTATCGCAAGAGGGAGGGCAGCAGCGTGCAACTCTGCAGGGGGAGAGGGGGGGGGAGAACTGAACCCTGAAAAATCTCACTTTTGTGGCCTCCAAACTCCTGCGGGGGAAAAAAATGTCATTTTTCTGTCATTTTTCTGTCCCCGGCTGAAGGGAACAATTGTTATGGATCTAGGCGGGCCGTTTAATTCATGGCAAGGAAAATCTGCTTGCATTTGTTGGTTTGGGGCCTGTCCCCTTGGCAGGCTGGTGGTGGCCTTGGCAGGTCATTCCCAGGCCCAGCAGGGCCTCTGCCCTAAAGACAGTTCCACACTTCATCTTCAAGGCCTTGAATCAGACCTTGAATCGAGGTCAGAGCTGGCTAAATCTCCGGGACAGGAGACCCCTGTAAGTCCCAGGGTTTACCTCTAAAGAAATCAGTGGTAAATTGCTTTCTCTGCCAAGAAAAATGCATGACCAGACCCTTGACTTAACTCAAAGGAGACTTTGTACAAGGGGAGCGTGTTTGCTCTCCCTTCAGAAGGGTTGCCTGTTGTGTTAGATTGATTTTGTTTTCATTTGTTTGCTTGCTTGCTTGCTTTTTCCGTGCAGCTCACAGTCGCGCATGTAATGCTTCGGCGGCCTTTTCAAGGTGGACTCTGTGCTGGTCGGTGGGGGTCTTTCCTGGGCTTCGTCGCCAGGTTGCCTTCCAGACAATTTTGGGTTTTAATTCCTCCTCTCACTTTTGCAGAATGGACAAGAGCGCTGGGTCAGTACAGTCCTTGCTGGAGGCTCATTCTCCGGGGTGAATTTTTGACGAGCGCAATATACCGACCTTCTCTTCAAATTCTTGGTAGAACATGCGTCCTCCTTAGCCACGGGCTTTACAATGAGGTGTGGAGTCAAGCTTGGCCAATCTTTAATTCCATTTTTTTCCTGCTCTTCTTCTTCCCAAGGAAGACTTTGAGATATTCAGTCCAGATGAGTATCAACAGAGGACGGTTTATCTCCAGGGAGAGTGATAAGTTTAGGTTAGGACTTCAACAGGTAGTATTTCTGTCTGAGAAGGATTGGACAAACCCTGCTGTTGGGTAAAGTTGAGTCAACAATTAAGGACCTCAGGAAGATGTTGGTGGAGAGTGCTCTTTTTGATGTACTGTGTGGCCTCCAAGCGTATTGTCCTCATGTAGTAAAGACCTCATGTTGCATGGAAGAACCGGCCATATTCTGAATATCCACTAGAGACTAGACATGAGCTGGGAGCATCTCGCCTCCTTATGCTTTCATATAATTGGCCAATGATGTTGGCTAAAGTTGGAATGATGTTGTGCTTATTGGGTTATGCTCCGATATTGCCATTCTTTGGATAGAGCATCAGAGGGATGTTTGGGTGTGCCATAGGTCTCTGGCCATGAGGACTGGCAATGAGGGTGTGTTTGTTGAGGGCATTGTGCCTCCCAATGTCTGATGCAAGCACATTTGTAAGATGACGTCATGCAGGGGGCATCACTTGCCCTTCCAGTACATACCCATTAGAGCAATCAGTGGAACGAGTTGCCTTCAGAAGTTGTGGGTGCTCCATCACTGGAGGTTTTCAAGAATTGACTGGACAGCCATTTTACTGGGATGGTATAGGGCAGGGGTAGGCAACCTTGGCTCTTTTATGACTCATGGACTTCAACTCCCAGAATTCCTGAGCCGGCCATGCCAGCTCAGGAATTCTGGGAGTTGAAGTCCATGAGTCATAAAAGAGTCAAGGTTGCCTACCCCTGGTATAAGGTCTTCTGCTTGAGCAGGAGGTTGGCCTAGAGGACCTCCAAGGTCCCTTCCAACTCTGTCATTCTGAGTTCATTTCATTCCTTGAAGCAAAGCTCCATTAGATCAAGATCTCTGGTTGTTCCACATGGTTTTCTGCACTACGTTGTTTGGAAGCAATTGGTATAGACTTCAGCAAGAACAAAACTGTCAGTAGAAGGGTATATATGTAGCTCAAAGTTGAACTGTGGAGTCCTTGGTGTTCTCTGAGCTTGGTT